GGATTAAAAATACAAAGCATTTAGAATCGGCCGCATCGCGAGTCGGGGCTGATTTGGTTTTGATCCTACGTAGACCGCCCTGAACTCTAAACTGCTTCAAGAATACGGGGGCCTTACTGATTAGAATAGGGTTTTGGGCTGCTTTATCGTATACTTATAATAAGGAACTCCGTAATTTAGATGCCTTCATAATTGAGAATGGGGTTCTGTGGCACATTTGCTACGCCCCTTTATTATTAAAGTCTCTAATGCCACAAGGCTGCAGCACTGCCACGAAGGACAGGAACACGCCGGAATGTACAGCATCACATTTGCCAATCATGATCTGGGCACTTAGGGTTGTTGTTTGCGTTGATATCAGCTTACGGCTCAGGGGTTTAGGGCTTCATTGCTTCGGGTGTAGCAATGTTTCGGGTTTAGGGTCAAGGAAAGCCTAGGGTTTAGGTTTAGGGTTTAGGGTTTAGGGTTTAGGGTTTAGGGTTTAGGGTTTAGGGTTTAGGGTTTAGGCATACCCTGGCATGCCTGTCATTCTTCCCTCGACGTACACATACCACGGGCTGCGCCCCTTGCCCCACAAAGCCCTAAACCTTAACCGCAAGCCTTAAACACCGCCAATCTTCAGGCTCCGTTACCCAACAGTTCACGAATACACGTAGATCATACTAAGAAGTACACTGAGAGGTTTAGGGTTTTGGGTTTAGGGTTTGGGGTTTAGGGTACTAAAATACGTAATTACACTAAGAGGTTTAGGGCTTTGGGTTTAGAGGCCCGTCCAAGGCTTGTGCCTACCTCGACGTGTCGGGGGCTCTCTGAGTTACGATCCCCGACACGCAAGTTGAACATGGAGGTCTCAAAAGACGAAGCCTTGCTGCCGTCACTGGAGCTTAATGTAGGGGCCTTAATAATCTGAACAGAGTCTTGGGGTATAATATACCATAGTTATAATAGGGAACACCAAAAGTAGTAAAGGTAAAAAAACCCTTAACCTCTAAACCGAATTACCTAGGCCCCTATATTAGGGTCTTTGGGATTGGTTTCCTGAAAGAGACGTCTCTCCGATCTGCGACAAAATTCGAGAAGGCCCTGATAGGGTTTAGGGCTTTCGGGCTCTAGGGCCTTGAGGGCCTTTAGGGCTTTTAGGGCTTTAGGGCTTTAGGCCTTTAGGGTTTGAGGTTAAATACAGGAACGTGATGAAGAAACCCTGGGTCACTCTTAGGGTTCTTTATATGAACCCTGCTATTTTGGGGTCCTAGAACCAGGGTTTCTTGATCTGGGTTTAGAGCTTTGGGGCACTATGCATCGAAAGAATAATACGAAACAAAGGCCTTTAAGATTCAATTCAGGGTCTAGGGGTTCAACGACATGCCGAGCTCGGGGCTCTTTCAGAGGTATAGCAGAATTTGTGTAAGAAGGGTTCTTAGCGCAGTGCAGGATTACAGCAACCGGCAGTTCCAATAGCTGCTGTCCAAGCGGCAGCACAGTACACCTGGGCAGGAAGGAGCCAGGCAGAATATGGCGTACGCTGCCATACTTTCAACTCACTCTTTGTAGTGAATCGGGCGCTTAAAGCTTAGAGAGAAACAAGAAATGCGACAGAAGTGGAGTCTCCAAATAGAAGGCACGGATGTAACTCTCGGAAAGTCCCTCAGCCACTCACTTCATATCCAGTTCTTTGCAATGCGGGCTTGTGAGACCCTCCACTTTCAAGTTTACTTTCCTTGTCGAGTTACCTGGGGAAAGTAAAGGTAAACCTTTGGGATTACATACATAATCTTATATACTACCCTGAAACATGGTTCGAGGTTGCTTCCTGCACGACTGACTTATTATATTATACCATAAACTCTAAGCCCCTAAACCCTAAATTCTACACCCTAAACCCTAAATCCCAAACCCTTAACCCTAAATCCTGAACCCCAAGAAGGTTAGGAGCCGCTAGATGGGGGACGAAACGTTCCTATGTCCGCTCTCGGAATGCAGCACACAAGGCTTTAGGGTTTAACCCTGAACTTAAACGGTGCCTCACATCTGAAGTTGCTCAACAAAAGTCCCGGTGATCTCCATGTACATCGACCATGGCACATCTTTCTACCCCTGTCGTGTTTCAGGATCATACCTGGTGTCCGATGGACTCTGAGTTGAGACTGCCTGCGGCCAAAGCAGCTGCATACTGTCACAGCGTTCGCTACTTCGTCTCGGCTGACAATTTCAAGTTAGAGTGTCGAGTGCTTTGCGGAATCGAAGCCCCAAGCCCAAAACTCACGCTGACACCTCTAAACCTCAAGGACACTGCGATTGCATGGGAGAGGCCCCAAAAAGCAACCGAGGTGCGATGATCACGCCATAGGAAGCGGTGAGCTTGCCTCTGCACTCACACTGTGGGTTTGGGTTTAGGGTTTAGGGTTTTGAGAGCTTACTGTAGGGGCCTTAATAATTCTAATAGGGTTTGGGGGGGTCCCTATTATACTTATAGTATGATATACCCCCTATCCCTGTTCTAACTATGAAGGTCCCTATATTAGATTTTTGAGCTTAGGGGGCCTAACCAACATCTCCGAAAGGGTCTTTCTTAGGTGTGGGGTGCTGCGGTGTTTGAAAGAACATGGATTGCCTCTCTGGTTTAGGGTTTCGAGCTTCTAGGGCGTTGAAGCTCACAGTTTCCTGGTTTTTTGGAAGTGCCGGGGGCTAGGATTAGTTCTAGGGCTGCTCTGGTTTCGGGCTTATTCTTTGCGAGGTAGTCCTAACAAGGAGATTCCTCAAACTGTACCGGGGATCCTCACTAAAAAACCCTAAACCCTAAACCCTAAAACCCTAAACCCGAAACCCTAAAACCCTAAAGCCCTAAACCCTAAAACCCTAAACCCTAAAGCCCTAAAACTCTAAAGCACTAAACCCTAAAACCCTATACCCTAAACCCTAAACCCTGGGATATCGGAGGCTCTGGGTTTCGGATGCCCAAGCCCCCAGGAGACGTTATCTCAACAGCCGGGCTAAGGGTTTTGGGTTTAGGGCGCCTGGTGCAAGTAAAAGAACCTTCCGAAATAGAAGGGGGTTTAGGGTGTAGGGCTTAGGGCTTAGGGCTTTAGGGCTTTAGGGTTTTAGGGTTTAGGGTTTAGGGTTTAGGCATATTTCTGTCATAGCGGTCTCAAACCAAGATCAGGGCTAAAGGCTTGGCATGAAAGCCCTACTCAAAATTGAGCACGATGACGCTTCACACGGATGGCCGAGAGGCTAATGTCTCCTCGGATGGCATTTCCGAACTCGTCGCCCAGCGAGCGCTGGAAGAGGCCTCTTGCACTTGCTAACAACTTCGGTCGAACTTTAGGGCTTACCAGGAAGGCCCCTCGAAAAGATTGAAATTGGGATCCACACTGAGAAAGTTTGTCGAGCCGCCCTACACAACCCCCACCCCCCCCCCCGCCGCCAGTTAGCAGAACCCTTGCCCATTTCGGGTAATAATACCACCAGTCAACCCATTAGACG